CCACATCTTTGAAGAAATGGTTTTTGCAGTAGGATTACATTCTTAAACGTTACCATTGAGCTACTGGTTTCATGACTGACCACCTGTAGGACTAAGGTGTTTACACTAGTTGAGTGGTGGTCATTGTCATGTTTGCTTAATTGTTAGTCCGCATCGTCATTCGATATTATTTAGTCAGTACTAAAAACAGGATAATAGTAAAATATGTTTGCGTCATACATTATGTACATAATCAAAATTAGGTTAATTGGTAAGTGGTCACGGCAAAATTCAAAAAGAATACTATGAAATTGAAAAGTAACGACAATAACATATGTTAAACTAAACTTCTATGAAACAAAACAGTTGTTTTTCAGTCCAAATATTTATATATTCCCACCACCACTGATCAGTAACTACCTAATTAAAATCGATATTTAAATCCTATTCTGTACAAATGTAATGCATACCTCCTGAAGACATTGGTCAAAAGTGATTTCAGTACCTAAAAGACACTGAAAATGTATCAAAGAACAGGTGAAGTTTTCGTGTAAATTGTGTTATTTAGCCAGTATATGCTGATAATACCACATGGTTACTACCTTGATATTCAATTTACTATCACCTTAAAGGATAATAACTAGTAACTTATTCAGGTTATTTATGTATCCGAATAATGTCCGATAAAATGTCACCAGAGTCACAATATTCTACAATTATTTAAAGGCTACGATAGATTTATTTATATTCCATTAACTATTTTCAACCACAGAAATACAGGGTAACTATTTTATTTCGGTCTTAAATTCTTTGCTTATAAAAAATTAATATCTGTAAATTTAATCGATGTGTTCCATTTCATTTTGGCTCTGTGTGTTAAATTGATATCACTTTCATAAAGAAACATAAAGGTCCTAAATATAAACGTTTTATTCGTACTCCTAGGAGTTTTTTAAAAAGTATTTTTCCAGGTTACCTTTATGTTAAACCATATCAACAAAGATCACTAAATTAAACTGACAGATTTATATACACATGAGACATATTTTTACCAATTTTCACTTTTTTTAAAAAATAGTGCACCATGTTTATGGATTGGTCAAAAACCAATTTATTTAAATGGTGATTATGAATATGCAGCTCAGTCAAAATGTCGTAATTGGCAGTCAACTTATCCAGGTGAAAATGGTTTAGCTGTGTCTTTACCAATTGTTGACAATGCACCAGGTTTATTTTCTAAACAAAATTTTAAATTAATATCATGTTCGAAATTTTGTCGAATGTTATGCATACAAATCACACCATCCAATACGTAATCAATTATAATTATTATGATAATCAATATTCGATTTATGTATCCGTATACACTTATTCCTGTTCTACATCCAGACATTTTTTATCGATTAATATACATATATATTGCTACTAAGTGAATTAAACGTTTGACAATTTAATGAGATTTTCAAAATATTCAACAGCTGAACAAGTACATAGTTGTTTGTTATTCTCCTGAATTTGTCCACTATTCAATACGAAACGATACTACTCTTTTTTCAGTACATACTAATATAACTTACTGATTCCTTCATCGTAATTGAACATTTTCGAGTTTGTCGATTTTAATTTCAGTGTTGAAATCCAACAATCAAGCATTTATATTCTCTCATTTATTGAAGAAAAAAAGAATAAGAAACCGATTGTTTTTTGTCAAAATTTATTTGTCTATCTATTTGTCTATCGTTTTTGACACCTAAATCCAACGTTTACATATACCTACTACAAAAAAGAACAGTTTTGAATTTCATTTGGGTTTTTCACCGACGCACCAATACATACACACAACACACAGATACACATGAAGCACAATTTATGATTTTAATGATTTCAGTATTTCTATCATTATTATTATTATTATTACTCCATATGTTTGTCTTTTGTTCAAAATTTTGTGGTATAATCTTTTCCTCATCTGCATGAATCACTATTTCTATGCAACCAATTGGAACAACTGAGGAATTAATAATTAGCTTTTGTGCAATTAATTTTGTGTGAAAGTGAAGCAGAATTATCTGGTCAATTTACATTGGTTTTGTTACTTACTTATATTAATTGTGTGCAAATTTTATGTTGGAACAGTTAAATATGTAATGCACTAGAATAATGGAAATATAGACATATATTTTATACGTGATATAAATTTGTAATTTATTTTACGCTAAAAAGAAATAATACTAAATTCATTATACCATAGGCATTATATGATTTGGGTTTACATGGGATTCTGTATAAATTATTATGAATTATACCTACTAATTATTAAATAAGTAGCAAACAAAACCAATGGCATTGATTACTAAATCTTAGCAGTCTAATCAACATATTATTAGCTTAAAACAAACAATATTAAATGTTTTAATGAGACTAATTTCTACTCCAAATTGGAGATGAAACTTAAAGTAGTTTGGCACGGTGATTCTGATGTGTAATATATACCAACAGCTGATCTTATATTAATTGATATCGCATTATGTAATCCTCAATGTTGAATAAATTCAGTTGGCCAGGTTCTAAAGTGATCACCAGTTTAAATGAAAGCGTCTTTAACTGTGGTTCCTAATACTAAATGTAAGAATCCTATCTTCATTTAGTTATGAGCTAAAATGATAGAAGCATGTCGTTGAAGTTCAGATATATTGGTTATTAGGTTGGCTGTCAAGATATTCAACTTCGAGGTGGCTTTTGTCACATACTTGTATTAGTTGAAGATTCGTTGAAAACTTGATGGCAACTGAACAAATTTTTCTTCATAGTATGAAACCCTTCAGATGTACATACTCAAAACCTTCACGGGTGTGAATTCAGAACTTTCAGTTCTCATGTCGAGAATCGAAGTAAAATCCAATAGTCTGGATTTTAAGGTTCACTTAGTGAGTATTTTATTCCAAGTATCACTCAATATTTTCATTAGTAATATCTATCTCACTTCCAGTATCATTTAACTTCAACTATCGTAACTTTTTACTAGAACTTTGAGAATTTATCTCTACATTAATCACTAACGATCACACTACATGTATGTGAATATAGTTTCTGCTCAGCTTTCACCACTGTTTGAGGTTATTTGGGAAACCAATGAAAATCACTTGTCACCAGGCCTATGTTCTACAGGTACCTCATCCATGATCGAATCTAGTAGCTTGAAGAGTAGATTATCGCACAACTTGTGAATTAAAATATAATAACAAGAATAATTCAGTTTTAATTAAATTAAGACATACGGCGAGACTAATTTATGGACGACCTTTGAACGAATTTTAAGTGACCTTGAGAATACTAGTCAATCAGCAAACAGTCAGTATGGAGTAGAAATATGTTATACAAAACCAAGGAAAGGAAGTGGATACACTTCTTATACGTGGTTCAAAAATTGTCAAGGTTAGAAAGAGGTTCAGAAGTTCTAAAATCGTAATGCATGCAGTGGAGGAAATCTACCATACGGCTACAGAATAGTCGGCCTCTGGAGCCATGATAAAGTCTCAAAAACTCTTTCAGCCTCGACCACATAGTTTCAATATTGTTTATGTGCACTTCGGTTGTTGATTACACAAAATGCTACTTGTGGATAACGACACGATGCACATAGCCAAGCCTATGTAGGAGTCTGTAGGCTCTCCAATCATCCGTATATATTGTAGTACCTGGCTGCAGCCAGTGTTACTGGTACTTTTATTATCCAGTTCGCGATAATTGTCATAGTTTGCCTCAGTTAGGAATTAAATATGGGGTTTTCATCGCGTACTGACATCAGTCATAATGCCAGAAATCTATTTAGCCAAATGGATGAAGGGCTTTCGCGTTAAAATCCGAGATCTATTATCTTATACCTGATTGATTCGTCCACAAATTATACTCTCGCCGTTTTATTTGTTATAACCGCTCAATTATCACGTTTTGTACAAAATTCCCTGTGAACCGAATGTACGTTAACACTAAGCACTGAAGTTGGCGCCATAACCGTGAAATCTCTAAGACGTCTCTGATTGGCTCATCCATAAATTAGAGTCTCGCCAGACATACAACAACTATCTAATTTAATCTATGTATCTTCATCACCTTTAAATTTTATTGATCTCACCAGTTCTCTTTAGGTGTCGGTCAAATTCATCTTCAGACAAATAATTAATAACCAATGTTTTGTGATCACTTTTACGTAATAAAGTGATTCGTGATTAATTTGATCTATTAAAGCTTCCGTTAGTTAGTTATACAGTTACGATAGACATTTTTAAAAATATATGCCAGTATCATAGATAATTATATTTCTTGTCTTTTTAATGAATTCACACAATAAATTCCTTTATTGTCACTCGAAATTATCTGGTTGCGGGCCAGTAAAGTGATTGATTAACCATTAAAGTCATGAGCACTTAGACTGCTGGGTTACAGGATTCATCTATTTAAAATTTGACAATAAATTTATGTCGTCATCTTCCAACCAAAAGGCGTAGTTCAGAAATGTCAAATATACTAGTCTATACGTGTGCCAGTTAATTTAAATGATGTATTGGCAATCTAACAATTACACTCCCTAATCTAACTTCAACGCATCTGAATTACTGATGAGACATGGTTTAGTAACTGATATAATGAATAGTTTGATATAATACACACAGGTATTGAAGAATGACTGAAGCCTTATCGATGATAAAATTTGACAGTATAATTGGTAGGACATTAACTGAAGGGAGTTTATTCGAATTCTATCTTGACTTCGGATTTCACCCCATGTTTTAATACATGGTTATATATATGCGGTCATCTAATAACGATGCTTATTAAGAGACCTTAGTGAAACTCGTTTACCATGAACATCTATATGCTTGCCAACCATGATCTGTCCATAGTTTTAAGTATAAGGGAGTACAATATTTCGGGATACTGTTAACAGTAGAATTTATGACACACATTTCTTTGACGGAGTTTTGTTCCAGCTCAGAGAACAAAACTCCATCAAGATCATCCACCTGAGCTACAAGTCTTCTCCAAGCGTTTCTTTCCAACTAGAACTCGTCAGATGGATGTTACGGTATCCTAGTATTAATGTTTACAGTGAGACTCCAACACAGTGCTTTCCAACTAAACTAAAACTTTTAAATGAAGTCTATATCAAGGTAATCAGTTCAGGAACTGTACATGGTAGCAGAGAGTGGTCAATTCCATTCCTGCATAATATTAATAACAACAATAAGAAATTACAAACACTAATATTGAAATAAAGTCTCGAATTATGTCTTAAGTTAACATATATATCCAATTTTACACTGACAGACTAATTATTAATTAGGCATTTGACTGAGTGAAATAGTTATAATCCAAAATGATCCAAATAGATCTTTTTTCATGTACACAGAAAGAAAAAAACAGATAAATCTAATTAACACGTTTTTGAGAATTTAAATGTATGTACAAAAGATATACACAACAAAGCTATTACATTCATAGTTCAATATCTCTGTCAATGTATTTTAGGGATTAAGTCAAAATGATCATATTCTATGTGTCCACAAGATAAGAGCAACTATCAATGATAATAATAATAATAATGTTCGCTTCAGAATAAATTATATTTTGAAGAAGAAACATTAAGGAATGTTGTAATCTAATATGATTGTGTTCATAAGTATACTTGATTGGTATTTTTCAAAAAGGGAATGTTTCACAAATAACTAGAACACTTTCAAATAGATGGGCGTGTTTTATTTTTCTAATTATCTTCTTCACAACTATACACATGTAATCTCTATTTCTTTTTTCTTCTTTTTTTTGGTTGGAAAAGAAAACAACTCAACATTAGATCTCTTCAAAAATTTCATTTGTCCATGTGTTCTTTTTATGTAATGATCTTTTGAATGTTTTCATATTCATAAAATTATTAAAATGTTGATTATTATGCATAGATGATGATGTCATAGACGATGATGTCATTGACGATGATGTGGTTGAAGTTGATGAGGATACAGATTCTGTAAATTGATTATTAATTAATTCATTTAAATTACGTGTAAATCGATAAACATAACGTTTTCCAGAAACTTTTTCAATAATTTTTTTATCATAATAATATCGTAAACCACGACTTAATTTTTCATAATTCATTTTTGGTTTATTTTTTCTAGCACCCCATCGTTGTGCTACTTGATTTGGTTCTTTTAATTTGAATTCATTTTCATAACCAGTCCATGAAATAAATGCATTTGCTTCAGGATCTTGTAATTCTTCTAATAAGAATTGCCATAATTGTATATGTCCATGATGATTGGTTGTTGGTGTTATTGGACAATAGAATGATGTATTGTATGGTTTGTCCATAGATTTAATGTCATTGAAAATTAATTGAGATTTTTGATGATAATGATTAGACTGATGAGTACATTGACTAACTTTATTATGAATGAGAATAATATCACTATCACAATGATTTGTACTGACAATGTCAACAGAAGAATGGGAAGATTTGGTCAAGTTATTCGTAGGTAATTCTGGACATACTTGTATTGTATCATTAATAGAAGAATTTGTTGGTAACTGGTCTAAGTTATATTCACCTACAAAAAATGTTCAGACAAAATAGTTACTTATATGAACGATTTATCAAAACTTGATTGAATAGTCTGGTAAAGATTGGGCCCTGAATATCAGGCAAACATCACATGAAAATTTTAACTAAAGTAGTCTCAGCGATTGAAATTTAAGAATCCCAACGCTTCGCCTGGGAAATTTTTGATCATTCCCTTGAGGAAACACTTATGGGTCTGCCCAGTGAAACGGACTATCTAAATTTCAGTCATTGAGATTATTTCAAGTAACTTTTACACATAAAGGTTGTTCATGAAAATGTATCAATTACTGTTTAACTACTAATGAGTAGGCAAATTATTATGGTGAATTGTTTTGGCGTTTATGGCTGGTGTAAGTTTATTATGAATCGAAGCAATCACCGATTTAACTTTCATCAAATTGCCTGTTTCGTTCTAAAGAGGTTTTTAGTAAAGCTGGCTTTGTTATCAAACAGTTGAACTCTGATAAAAATAACAACGAGGTTTTATTCATCGTCTACACATAACGGATTGTGTTGTTCTATTCAATTATTAGTATCCTATATCGTTACAATTATTTCCTTGTAGTAGCTGACTAGTATGTACTGGATATATACAAACTTCAAATAACACGACCGGTGATCTGTAAATCTTATACCTTTATGCCAAAATAATATTTTCATTAGTGGGGTATTAATTAAGGTTATATAAGTGCTCATTAAAATATTTTACCCATTTACTGATAAACGATGTGAACAAACAGATTTAAAAATCCCTATTTTATTTGAATGAATGGACAGATGAATCTATAAATTATACTTAAATTCTTACACATATTACGAGTGAGACTTTGATTCAGTGTCAACATTTCATATACTAGATTTTTAACAACTGAGTAGCAAGATTACGAGCAGCAACATTTATATGACGGATTTTATACTTAATGTTAATCGTTTCCTTCGTTATCTTCCCATGGAATTAAATTATTAAATCTTTGTTGATATTTTAAATGACATGTACCAATTAGAATAAAGTCGTGGTGTCTTTCTGGTTATTGACGTATTGTCAGTACTATTGTAGGTCAAAACCGAAATTGAGTTCAATTTACTTTCAAGTTCAAACTGTACAAACAGTATTATGAAGGAAAATATGTCTATCAGCAATACTTTCAGTGCATGTATATATTCATTCATACAAACCACTGTATTTACAAGTAATGGCTACAAACTATTATCGTCATTAGAAAGAATACAAGTTCGAATTGCTTCCTGCTATGCAAGCTAGCCAGTTCCAAAATAATTAAAACAACTGTCCAGTATCTTCTGGTCTTCAAACTGTTCTCCGGCTGACAGAAAATTCATAAGACCATCAAACTTAATGATAAATACAAAAATTAGTAACTCACTTTGATCACTGCAAGTGGTTTGTTGTTGGTGTTGGGGATTCAAAACCGGTAACAATTGACAATTATTAGTATAAATTGATTGAGAGGGATATTTGTATGCTGTGAAACTATTATTGTTACATATACGATTATTATTACTGTTATTAACATCCAGGATATGATTACTGAATCTTTCATTTTGATGGTTTAAACTATCATTATTGACATCCGAACTCAATAATTGCGAATTAATTAACGTATTATTATTAGTAGTAGTATTAAGATGAATTGTGCTAGTTGGTAAATTTAATGAGGTCGAATTATTCGTTAAAAATGAATGGTCAGGTTGTGTTGACATAGTTGTCACCATTGTTGTCGTCGACGTCGTGGTTGAGGTACTTGTCACTGTTAACTGATTACATGGAGGACAATCATTCCCACTGATTATTTCTTTTTCAAATTTAATCTATGAAATAATAATGATAATAAACAGTCAATAAGTCAACAGACATTATAAATCTTAGGTACGTCTATGTTATGCTTATCATTCCGACTAAGTTACATATACATTCTTCCTAAATGCCTGGGAAAATCATTATGTAGGAGAAGAATACCATGGCTCTGTAGAAAGCTTTATTATTAAAATAATGAATAATTATTTACACAACTCATATGTGCAGATGTAAATTACAGTACCTGATCCAAACACAGACATATATGCAATGACCCCGACTAAGTAAATAATCTGCTTATTAACATGTTTTTGAGGCAGCATATGATATGTTAGGAAATAGTGAAAATCCATAAGTAGGTCATCACCAGATAAAACAGAATTGTACTATATTCATTCATTCAAGAGCTAATGCCTACATTGTCTGTGGCTAATGAAAGACCGTATAGAATATAATGAAGTTCATATTGTCAGAATCACCTACAATATATTGAATACAGTTGCAATCTGTACGAATCCTCCAACTGAATGATAAGTGTATGTTTAATGGTGATTAGGTTGTGATGTTGTTAGTGAGAAGATGTAATGTGTAGAATCAATCGGATTGATTGTGATGTAATCATCTACTAATGAAAGTGAATAAAGAATGTTGTGTGTGGGAAATAGATTGAAATTGAAAATATGAATTAATGGATACTGGTTTAGTCATAAAATCGAAAAACTATGTATTCATTACGAAACAGTTAACTGTTTACAAAACAGAAAGTAATTTTTTGTCACTACATAAACGCTGATTAATACTGATAAAATGTTTTAACTATATAATAGGCTCGTCAAAGTATTTATAAATTAATTATATGATATGAAAAGAAATGCAGGTTTTGAGATGTAACCTCAGTTTATTTACTTCAAAAGAGCATCAGTAATAGATTGAAGATTGTAATCGTTACTTACAAATGTAGACTGAATTCTGATTATCATGATAATAAATTTTATTGAAATGAATCTCTACTGATTATCATTCTACTTTCAATTTGTACGTTTGATTGAAAAGTGGACTCCATAATCAAAAGTGTTGATATCATATTTTAACTTGTTCACGTTTCATGAATTTATATTTATTCCACCAATCTTTCTTTTATATATTACCACCTCTGAATTAACTACTTTTATGAATCCAGTGTCCATCTTGTTGTGTTAATCAGGTATGGCAACTTGGACCGATGCATATATGTGCCTGGCCTTACGTTGTAGCTGACTAACTGACTGACTGACCGATGTGAAAAATTCAAAGAGAATATTATAATATATTTAAATTTTTAACAAGGAAACCACATTTCATGTCTCTTATAGCTCATTTATGATCAATTACTGTTTCATAATTTAAATTTCTACGAAATGTAATTCATTTTATCAAATTCAATTATATTGTTATTATTATTATTAATGGCTTACTTGATCTTCCACATCAAAATGATCTGCATCCATTTGTTTAATTAATATACTGTTGTCACTGTTAAATTTTCTCATATTAGTTAATTCGTCTGGATTATTTTGCTGAATAGATGTTACTTTTTCAAAATTAGAGCAATATACAGGATTTTCAAGCATATTTTGAATATGTTCTTGACTACGTGTAATGAATGCTAGCAAAATAATTATAAGATTTATTAAGGTATTTGTTAGAATTTTTTAAAGTTGAAGAAAAATGAATCGAAAATTTATCAATATTTTAGGATTAATTTATACTACTTAAAGTTAGTTAGTAAAAAGCGATTCAACATCAAAAAAATATTCCGAACGGTTTGAACTGACTAAGAATATGATCACTGTCTAAACACCCAACTCCACACGATATCCATCTGTTATCTATTCTAAGTAAAGAACCTTGTCACATTACTCGATGACTCTGTCACTTTCGTGAATATAAGCGAACATTATATTGATGATCAAAGCACTTAAAGTTAACCACTAGATTTGACGTTGAAACCTTATTTTGCTTAATTCTGTATGATAACACTGAACAAATCACCAGATTTTTCCAGAAAACTGTCATTCAAATCAAAGCGCACTGACCTGTCTGATTAACGAAAAAATCAAAATAGTTTAACGAGTAACTCATGGTAAAATAAGCCTAGCGGTAATTTTATGTGACAGGTTCAAATCCGAAGTAGAGTACTGATTCAATAAAGAGCAGAAGAACACGTTGTTGAAAATTTTGAACATGAAATCTGTGTCTGGAGTTTACTGCCGGTCGGTCCAAACGGCCCAATATTAAAAACACTGTAAAATTGGAGCTTAAATAAGCCGATCTAGCATCCGTATTACGACTTGATCTATGGAATTCGATCACCACAAAGTAGTCGATAAAGAAAACGCATATAATTATTGCATATGAGCGAAGATAGATAGTGTCTAGCAGTGGAATCCAGGACGCGCTTTTCGTCCTGTTTGAGACTCGTCAGCTGGATGTGCATGCATCTCCGAGTTGATGTTCATTCCAGGACTCGGAACCAGTTCCGTTCGCTTCAAACGCCATCGCGTTATCCACTCAGTTACTGAGGCCTGATAGCCACTTGTTTGTGCAATTACAGCAATATCGAGGCATATGCACAGTATGTACATATGCCAATAACAGACTGATCATTTGCAGTCTTAAACCTCAATGGGAAGATACATGCAAAACAATACCAAGTGAATTATTACATATGGTTTAATGAATTGTGAACAACGGTTCAATCTAAAGGTAATTTATGACAACGCAGATAGAACTCATCTATCAAACCACTCAAAGCAATTGAACAGCTTTTGGTTACCAGCGTAAGACTACCGAACCCACACAAATCAAAACAAAAGACTAGCCTTGAGATATAATTCTATAAACCTGCTGAAAAACCTCTGATTGTGTTCAAATAAGTCGAAGGTGATGTAATTATCTATAGATAGCACTATCCCAATCATATCAAAAAGTGACTGATGTCAAATCCGTGAATCATTGAATTCAAGTTCAGTGTATCATATTCTCACTCAAACCTGGAAGTCTTGGATTTGGCTCTTTATGAAATCATAAACATACACTGCTAAGGATACCAAACGTATTATAAAACAACTTTTAAGGACCCAACTCTACTTGATTGATAAACGGTTCTCCAACTGAATTTGGTCTATGACGGAAATCATCTAATAACATAAATATCCTCAAAGATGTATCGATGACATTGTTTCATCAATATACTGAAGCCAACGTTAATAGATTTATACTAATCAGATTATCGGTGAACTTACATTTTGAAGTTAAAAATTACTAAACACTGTATTCTATTTAGCGAAACATTTTGAAATCTAATTATTATTACACCTAAACTGTGTAATATAGATGACATAATCATACCAAATGGAATTTATTTATATGGAATACTTGATGATAAACAATTTTAACGGATTAATTTCTAGTAAACAATTTTTAGGGGGGTTTTGTTGTAATAAATGGACTTCACACATGTCCATTTCACTTAGCGTATTAAATAATTCGAGAGGGCCGTAGAGCATACAGAATAATAATTGTTATAATAATAATAATTATTATTATTATCGAATCTCTGCATTAGTAAATAATTTAGGTTGCGGATTAGCATTCTTAAACTATCCCCCTATATTTTTATGTTGTACAAACTGATACAAGTAGAATTAGGAGTTTTTATACAGTTCTAAACTGGTTTATTATGTAATCAGTTCATTTAAACGGATTAAACTGAAAATAAGTAAGTCATTGAGAAGTTAATTAGCTGGGGTGTTTTTGCTAAAACAAACTGATAAAAAAACTAACTGTAAAGTATAATTTGAATAGTTTTTTAATTGTTTTCTCATTCTATTTCATTATCATTTGAATTTACGATTAAAAATTATAATACCTCAATAGAGAACAAGATTGGGAGCTGTGTATTTTATTTAAACAGAATATTGCGTAATTAAGCTAGATTGTTTAAAATAATTTTTCCTTAGTAAATAAGATAATTCCATCCACCCACTCCGGTTGGTTTTCAATAAATTTTGTCTTGTTGATTATTTCAATTATACCTTTGAATAAATATACACTGATATTTTGTTAAAGTAAACAACAAACATTTTAAAAATGTGTCAATTTGATGTTTTACTGCTTCAAGAAAGAGAGGGAAAGAGGGAGAATGAACTGTCGGTCATAAATAAAATTAGGTAACCGAGTTTCTTTATTGTGGAACTGTGCCATAACCGGCATTGTTGAGGAATTACACTTTTTTTTAATAATTAATAAACAACATGAATCATCTTATATTTGGAATGACTACAGACAGTAATGATGAATTACATAGTTTACGAACCAAACTGTAACTTGATCAATCGAATTATATGAACATCAATTAGAAAAACATGATGTTGTTTTCTATGCAATGATTATCACCATAGGAAAAGAAATCTCACTCCCAGGTAGAGGTAATTCTTAAGCTAAGTTAAATACCTCAATTCGGTAATAGTTCAAACATTGACCAGGGTACAAGTGTCATATGAAGCGTCAATTCTTTCAAGCTTACTGATGAGAAAGAATAATCATATAACTCAGTTCTATTTATTGCCTATAACAGTTTGATCAACTGATACTATAAATTGTACACACTTATCATGTTATCGATGAAACAATATCAAATGGTATCCAATTTAAATGATTCAAATTTGACTATTGGTCAATATAAATAATTCTTATAAAACACAATTTATTCACACATAGTTTATGATTTAATTCTAGTGCTTAACACGTGCTCTATTTAAAAAGGACAGTAGTACCTTTGCTCGCTGAGTTAAATTTATAGTTTTAATCGTTTATTAAGAATCAAGACTACTGTTTTGACTCTAACTGAATTTATTTCACTTAAAGTAGCGCCAAGAGTATCTTTTTTCGGAAGTAACTTATCCTCTGTTCTTTTTAAGTATATTGGGGTTTTTCTTTGTTACACTTTTGGATCTAACAGCTTACATTTTTACAGTTTCATATCTGGTGATAAATTTTTTGTCCCTGGGTATTGTTTGCGTCTGGCTTTTTTTGGAAACCTCTGATTACTGACTATACACTGAAAAAAAACTATTCCCATCACCCGGGCTGTTGATACCCTATGGAGAGTGGTATGCAATGAGATGAGTACAAAGGATGGTACCACGAAGTTTGCACGAATCTAACTCCTGTGGCTTTCGAATGGTTTATTGAAAAAGGTTGCGTAAGTTTGTGTCAGCAATGTTGCTCGGACTCAAACAGCTTGCCACCCGAAACCATTGCAATGGTGAACGCTGTTAAACGGGATACTAGCACACTTGATCGAGATGCATCAAATTGTACTCGCTGTGTCGATACACAAGTCGATATGAAGTTATCTGAAATAAGCTCAGAGTTCATTGACTTGCATGAGCTAAATGGGGAAGAACCAACTGCAAAGATGTTTGTTAGAAACAGAAGCTCAAGAATGGAGGTTTCTTTTGTTCCCTACTCTCAAAAAGGACTCAGGTAGGAAACGCAAGGCTACGCCTGTTTCTAGCAGGAAAAATAAAAAATTGATGACCCAAGTCATTGACTATCATCCAGGATCTTACGGTGTTTGTGACGCAACTGTGATTGCTACTCCAATGAAAGCTGATTAATGGGAACAAATCAAGAATTAGAAACAAACTAATATTACCAAAGAAAATCCAGTCTCCCGAAAGGTAGTTAAGAAATCGAAGGCTGATCATAGTAACAGGTTGATTGTTTTTCATGAAGTCAAGGAGAGTGAAAGTTCAGTAACCATAACTCACTTTGCGCAAGATATCCGGTTGATAAAAGACCTATTTAATCAGCTAATGCCTCAAGATAACTCTGGGTTCACCTTGCTGAAGCTTTATAGACTAGGCAGCCAAACGAACTTGAAGAAGAATCAGACCAGGTTGCTGAAAGTGGTACTTGAATCTCTCAATGAAAAGGACTTAATAATACAAAATGGACAAATACTAAAGGGGTCAGAAATTTTTGTCCGTAAACACTTGCCGCTCGCGGACCGAACAAAGGACGAGAAACCGAAAAAGAACTAAAACTAAGGTTATGTGCTGGTGAAAAGAACTTTAGAACCGTAGATTTTCAGATGGTTAGGCTCCAACAAAGGATGATGCCGAAACCACTCTGGGTGCAGCATGAAATAATCAAAATGGCCTTCGGATATGTTACACGAATGCCCGGAGCTTGCTCAACAAGCGATCGGAGCTAGGTGTACAGATAAACTCTACCAAACTGGATGTGATTGTTGTCACAGAAAATTGGCTGACGCAGTCTGTAGACAGTAGGGAACTTGATTTCGAATGTTTCACATTAGTAAGAGCCAACAGAGCTTAGAAGAGTAAAGGAGGAGGAGTAGCTCTATTCATTAGAAATACTACTCCATTTACGATTATCAGTAACAAATCCCATGAAAGTGGGAAGTGCTAATTAATTAGTTACCTCATGAAATGCAAAGGAAAAGAGCCACTAATTGGCTAGGTCTACTACAGTCAAAGCCGTGAGGTGAGCGTGGTCTTTCTAGTCGGTTGTAATACTTGGTCATCAAGTGGTCGATGTTTAATCTTATGAAACCTTAATGAACCTACAGTAGATTTGAAGACTGAACTGTCAGAAAATCCTTTCGAACAGAAACTAGTTAACGCGGTTGTCACATGTGTCCAAGTGCAACATGTGGAAAAAGGAACTAGGTACTACCAGGACTCCTAATTATTCTTACTCGATCTCATATTGACCCATTGTGAGGATGACGTCACAAACCTCCATTATATGACATCCTTAGGTAAGAGTAACCATCCAATTCTAGATTTTGTTGTCACCAACTATGTGTCAGTCCAAGCCAGACCAAACGCCAGCAAAGCAAATACACAAAAATTATATACCCAGCATCCTCAGTAGATTTGACAATAGAATCAGAATCTTCTATTGAAACGGTTTGTGAGGTATTAAGAAATTTGTACATAAGAGTTACTTAACTGCATATCCCCACCGTGATTCAGTAAGAAGTTTCTCACTCTTCTCCGTCAGAGAACAAGAATGTGGGGGATATTTAGATTACTGGGTACTGACGCTATCAGGAAACTCCAAGTAGTTGTTCATCGACCCTCCACAGGTCTAGAAGATTGTATAAAGAGAAACTTCTTAAGGAGTCTATAGAAACCTTAAACGCTTATGCTCGTACATAAACCAAAGGACTAAGAGAATAGGCGACATCCCAGCATTATCCGTAAATAGGAGTACTGCATCATTATAGTAAAGCTCATGTATTCTCAAATTAACGATGCATGTATTTTAATGGTAACCTCTCCTTCAATTCAAAAACTCTCCACACACACATACACTCTGGACACGGTGACCATTAAAGAACCCGATGTCAGTGATTTAGACAAATCCCGATGAAATGCATCCTGGGTTGCCGAAGGAATTTTCAAATGTTGTCGCAAATCCCTTAAACATTTGTAATCTAAGTTAGGTTACCAAAAGACTGGAAGAACGGCACAGTAAATCCTATCTTCAAAACAGGTATGAGACACAAACTTGATAATTATCGATCCGTAAACTTAACCAGCACGGTTTTTAAAATTTTAGAAAATATTATTTGGAAGTTGTTTAATTATCTAGACGAAAACCGAACTCTCTGAAAAGCAGCATGATTTCAGAATAGGTTGTTTATGTTTCACTAACTTATTAGTAGCCCGCGAAAGTTGGTTTGCTCTTGAAGACCGAAAGTTACATATAGATGTAGCCTACACTGACTTCAATAAGACTTTTGACAAGTTCCTCACAACCGGCTGTTATATAAGTTTGGGACCAGTGTTGTTCCTCCTGTGTGTAAATGACATTTTCAGTCTCTTATCATTATGGGTTTTGTTATATGCTGACGATGTTAAGATATTGTGACCGATAAAAGTAAAGGTAATAGTTTAGAGTTTCAAAATGACCTTGAGAAATCATCTGAATGGTCTAGAATTTGGCAGTTGCCGATATGTGCTTCTAAGTGTATTATGGTGCATATTGAACGTCAAGATACAAATACAAACACGGTGAATAACATTAGGCTACCTTTCGTCTGGCACACAATGACCCGGGAGACATAGTTAGCTAAAACTTGGAAACTACTACACACAGGCGTGCAATAGCTGTCAAAGATTTTAGAACCGTATGGTCAATACATATAGCCTTTAACGATGTCGATATTAAAAACTTTTCGACATTGTATACGGTATTCATTAGTCCTAAACTCACGTATTTCATACAAGAGACTATCCCCTGTGTAAAAAGAGACAGTAAGGTGTAGAAAAAAGATTCAAAGAACCATAACTAGGCTGATTCCTGGAATTGTAAGGCCCTCGTATAATGCCCAACTGGTTAAACTAAATCTGTTTCATTCCCGTGTAGAAGAACCTGGGATGACTTGATCACCGTTTTTAAATTACTTGGTGATAAATTTGCATTTGATATCCTCTTATTTTTCTTGTCTTCCAAAACAGGAAAACCCTAAAATGTCCACAATTCCAAAACAAAGTTCCTGTTGGATGACTACCGAATTTTCCATCGAATCATTAACGGAAGGAATTCATTACCTCAACAGATGATTGAAGCTCCATCTGTTGACGCTTTCAAAATAAAGTTGGATCAATTGAGAAAATGCCTTTGTCATGACTAACACAAACCACTTGGCCTCCTGTCCTTTCCAAACTGCAACTGTAATCAGAACTTCATAAATCTTTTTCTACAGTTTTTACCTTCTTCCTTATGTCTATGTATATGGGTCTTTGTTCAGATACACCGACTATAGATACTTATTGTTTTGACAAGTGATAACTAACAAGAATGATGTGATGTTTTTGACGGTAGTATAGATTTTTTGTTCTACATTACTGTCAACCATATATAATTTTATGACTAGCCTTTAACTCACCTGTAGGAATATTTCCATGATGGTTTTGTGAATGATTAAGCTGGTGTAGTTGCAGATGTTGAAGAGGATCATGATGACGATGATATTCATCTGTAGGTTGAGGTGAAACAGATAGATCAGAAAGATGATAAAAATGATCATATGGTTTATGCGATGATAACCAATAGTTTGACAAATAATCATTATACACTCCAGTTTGTTCCGATTTCACAACTGTACTGTTCAGTGTTTTATTATTATTATTTGAACCATACAAAGTAGAGCAATACAACTCGTCTATTCTGTGATTATTATTATTATTGTGTAATGAATCATTAGTTTCCTTCGTGGTTTTTTTAAGTATTGATTTTAACTCAATAGTGTTAATGCCTGTTGTTGTGGCTGGCGTTGTTGCTGGTGTTTCTGTCGATACTAATGTTAGTGTAGGTAATATTGATGGGATTGTCGATGAGATGATTGATGTTTTTTTGTTCTTTGTTACTTCTAATGACAGAAGTTCATTTGTCGATGATAAACTTGGGTGTTGCTCATGATAATGATGGTGAACTTGGTTACCATTTGAATATTTCATTTTTTTCAACCCTTCTAATTTTGGCATTCGACGTGAATAATGATTAGATCGTTTACTTTTTTTCAATTGACGAGTAAACTTTCCATTTGTATTTTCATTAGTTAATTGATCATTATTATTTATATGATAAATGAATGGTTTATATTGGTCACTGAATTCAGATGAAACACTATTCAAATTTGATATATTTGTTTTCAAATGAACACATGAGGAGGGGAGAGAAAAAATTCTGTAAATAGAAGAAATGGATTGTTCTCTTAAAAAGTAACTCAATAAAAGATATTAAATTAACTTTAAATGAAACTACTGTTTATCTTTTTTTTCAGTGATTCAGGAGCCAGTTGTAACATTTGATCGAAAAAAGACACTATTAATAGCCGAATAGAAAAAGAATGTTCATCTACTAACTGAATACTGGTTTTGAGACGAATTTCTTCAGATTTCTGAAACAAAGTCGCGTTACTTCAATACAGCTAATTACTTAGAAGACTAGAAGTCACTTGTCGATAGGAAAGGATAAAATATTACATAAGAACCTAATTATTGTATCAAAGGTACCATGTTAATCAGAAAATCCATAAATTCTTGGTTTTGATCTTCTGTGAAGTCATGACTATGTACACTTGATAAATCTCATACAAATGAAAAATAGTTACATAATGATACGTAATCAGTCAACAAATCACCTGAACGTGAGTTCGAATCTCACGAGGCGGGATCGTAGATGCGTACTGTCGAGGAGCCCCACGATAGGACAAAACGGCCATCCAGTGCTTGCAGGTTTTCCATGATGGTCTAGCTTGAACTGAATCATGATCTCAACCATTAAAATTTTTTGAAATTATCAAGTCAAAGCTTCATAATGTTACCTACACTAACAAATGGGTTTTTCATTGTTACTAATATATAACACAAAGTAATTGGTTACATTTTTCATCAATAAAGTATAGGTTACTTTGTATTATCCTATGAGAATAAATGGATGGAAAAATATTTATCAGGGAAAAGGTTGTATGTAAAAACCAGTCAAGTATTTTTTCTATCGAAATGGAAGTTAGATATGTTTATTCTCTAAATGTTTAACAGTGAATATTCGTAAAACGAATTAATTTTGTACAAAAAAAACTAATTCATTTGTTTAGCTAATTATTTAGGAATCACTCCAAAGACGTCTTTTAAAGTAACTTACAGGGTCAAAGGAATGAAATCGAAGGGATGTTGGATCAATATTTTAGGCACTGCTGAGATATTGGCAATCCACGAATAATTAATATCATTGTCAGCTTCAAATTATAAAAACTAACTTCAAATTAACTTGACATCTGATATTATAATCATTTTTCCCAGATTCATTGGTTGAACAGACTAACTAAACATTCTATTTATTGGTGTGAATCAGTAAAATTTAGTAAATTTAAGCAAATTTCTGTTACTGTAAATCTATTGCATTGCTAATTTTTTTCCAAAATCATAAAGGATTATTGGTATCAGAAGTGGTTTTGTGGATATTATAATAAATTTATTAGTTGAGATCATGAGTCAATTGAGGCTAGATCAACATAGAAGACCTGGAAGCACTGGATGGCTGTTTCGTCCCATTGCGGGACTCCTCGACAGTGCTCATTCACGATCCCGCCTCGCAAGATTCCTGAGGCCTGGGTTCGAATCTCGCGAGACGGGATCATAAATGCGCACTGCTGAGAAGTATCACAACAGAATTATTAGTTAGATATTGATTTGTTTCATTAATTTTCATAAATTACTTAAAGTTTATTCTAAATGGTATATTATATCATATTGAATGGTTTGAAAGTTAATTTATTTGGTACCTTCTAATTCATATATTTACTTTTATTAAAATTTCTTCATTGATGAAACATTCTAAACTATAAAATCATTAATATTTTAGGCATGTATTATAAGTACTCACTTATCAAAATTATAATATTCATCCAATTGACTTTTCTCTTGTAATGTTTGTTTTCTAGTCATTAGTTTCTGTTCATTTGGATATGAAATAATCGAATCAGTTATTTGTTGTTTAGATGACATTGAATAATCAGATAATAAACATGTTGATGATGTCAACGGTAATGTAAATGATGGTCTAGAACAAATTGGTGATATACTTAAATCACTGTTTTCTAATATCATTTTATTTAACATTTCAGTTCTATTTAAATAATTATAATAATTATAATGATTATCACTATTATTATTATTATTATTATCCATATATGAGAAATAGGGTGAATAATTTTCATAATTTGAATTATTCTCATGTGTACTTTTCATTAAATTCATTTGTGATTTAACAAATTCATAATCTGTTCCATTTGGCATAGTATTTAATATTGACCAATCATGTTGAATATTTTGATTGTTACAATATCGATTAGTTTTATCATTAAATTGGTTATGATGTTGATGATGATAAATTTTCTCAGTGGATTCTAATAAATGATTTGATATTTCTGGTATTTCAGTACATTGAAATTCACACAATGAAGAAGATGTTTCAGAATAATCTATTTTGTAAAAATATATAGGAAAAAAAACAAGAAATGTACACCTAAACAAAATAATAAAAGAATGATATATTTATGATATCCTAATGAGTAGAAGTTTCAGTTTCTGACGTTTGTCAACTTAGTGTAAGTCACTTTCTCATTGAGTAAATAAATAACGGGATTGAATTGGTACAAGTTTAAACAGTATAAAAGAACAAGCAGAGAAGATAATTTAATCAAAATCGGATTTTTACACTGAATGAAAGTATAACGTTCAAGTTGATGTACCGATTTGATTGTGCCGATTTTCATTAGACGTTTAAATTTAGATCGCTGTTAGAATTTCTGTAAGTAAACAGTATAAGAATAGAAGATCATGATGTTCATCTTCCTTTTCAAAAATGAATTTTATATAATTTGAGAAGGTATTTATCACTTTAGAGAAATTTCTATAATTTTTTTCATATTACAGATTTCATATTTTACACACCTACCAGGATATGTGCAAATACACATAGTGATGTCTCACAGATAATCACCTTAATCAAAATGACATTAACCAGTTTTTATTATCGGTTTAAATTCTTCATGTTTAACTTTTTCTACTACCATTGATACCATTACTGACTCTACTATTCTAAGGTTCATCTTGATAATTTCATTTCCCCTTACTTACATAGTATAGCAATTTAAACCGATGCATATAATGTTCTGTGAATCACTTTTTAAAAAGATTAAACTCAATATGATAATATTTAATAATGCTACAAAAAAACGACTTGGAGATTTCCATGAGTTCTTAATATGTATGAATGAAGAGTTGTTTCAAATTAACTCAAGTTAAGATTTTGACTAAATTACATGAAGGCAATTTTCTTATAAAATTCTGATTGTCTGAAAAAATTAGTATTTTCAGAAATAGAAGTGAAATCAATCTTCGTTAATGCTAGGGAGGAGCAATCGTGATCTCAAAATTAGGATGTGTGAACATGTACCAAAATGGTTGCGGAAACAAATAGAATCAAGTGACCCTATAAGAGTAGAGGATAAACACACATCATTCTCTATTGCTAAACATATAATGGAAGCAGGTCATAAGATTGATCTTAACACGGCTTTTGTGGTGTTGTATAAAAGTGTAAAAGGGCGTACATTAAGGTTTATTGAAGCCTTAGCCATACGAAAATTCAAACCTCCTTTGTGTATCCAAAATCAGTTTGTTGTCACCTTGAACCTACCCTGATATTATTAGCTTATTATCCAGAGTGATGAGGTTTCAAATTGTGCTGACATTATTATTATTACTACTTTTCTTACTATCCTTGTCTCCTCTTACTCTCCATTTCTAGTCTAGTTGACCTTTTATTTTTATATACAAATGTCCTTAACAAGTATATATGTGATCAGATTGTTTGAAATATATTGCGCTAATATATCACATAGTTCTGACAATCTTCATCTTCTTATTACATAATCTTAATTTTCTGATTGTTTTATATTAGAATGTTAGTTAACTAACATGATATAATTGTTAACCAATTTTTTTTAATGACTAGATATCATCATGCCATTCTGTACACTTTTGATAAAACATTCACTGAATAATTGATCCGAACTTCAGTCGATTAAAAACAATATACAAGAAGAAGCTACGAACAATTAACTTTTAACTTCCTAAACTTCAAAGATTACTACTACATACTAAAGTCTATGCAGATTGACTTATACAAAGTTATGTACTAAACATTAATGAATTGTTTTAAAAATCAAGTAAATTATTTAAATATTATCTAGGGTAATTTCATTTAAATGTACATATGCATAAATAAATTCATTTAGTTCAAGTTACAAATATTAAGTTTAACTTCATTCATACTCTACAAATTAGTTTCATTGTTCCAAGTAACTATGAAAAATAAAGTCACATGATATTTCAAGTCATAAAGATTAATAATAATTTTCTAAAGTATACAGTTTTTGGATAATAAACTAAGTTTATTTAAGTGAAACTCAAATTTTTCATTAATTTCATACATTCTCTAACTATATTTATATTAAAAGTTAGTACTTGTTTTCAACTTGTACCTCCCTAGCTCTCTCCCTTCCCCCCCTCTCTCTCTACATATATATATATATATATATATATATATATATATATATCGATTTGTAATTTGTAAATCTTTTTTTTTGCCTAACATGGTTAGATATAACAAAGATGTAAATACTCTAAATATATTTATATATTGGTGTATGATGCCACTTTATAGATTTAAATGTCCACTGAATGTATTCATGTTAATTTGTATGTGTATACATGAAGTACATATATTTATAGTTTATTCAATGTGTCATCGAATAACTAATTGTACATCTATTTTAGAATACATAAACTTAATTATTTTACATGAATAGAATACATATAAGTACAAATATGATATCTGTTTATATTTAAGTATGTAGTTAAAATGAACAAATTAGCCTTTATTATTCGATTGATAAAGAATGTTTTTCTTTTTTTTTCTATTTAGAAATAGATAATAAGAAAAATCTTAACATTGATGATCGTGATAATGTTTAGTTAATTGTAATGGCTCAACAATTATCCAGGTGATGACGATGACAATAGTGATGGTGGTGATGTCTAATTTATTTACTAATGGTTATTATAGAAATACCTCTGAGAAGAGGGAATAGGTAGAAAGAGAAACAGATCTTCCAGGTGTCTTGTAAAACTTTTATTATAAAGATTCGATCTTAAAATTATTCCGTTAAGCTTTAATATTGCACGTGCGTATTTATAGTTAATTCGTGAATAGGGGTAATAGTGATAATAACTAAAAATTAGCTTTAAAAAAAGAAGTATAATGTTGATTTGGTCAGTTCTAATTTGTTCGATTCATGAATACATTTCCATCAATGTTACCCCCCCTCAAATGTACGCATAAATATAGTCATTTCATTTTCTGTCATCCTTTTATTCACTTCTCTCTCACACACACACACACTCCCTCAATATGAAAGTTCATCTAAAAAACTATTTTCTGACTAAGGAGATTATTTATTCAGAGCTACTTTGTCAAAAGAAAGAATCAGTAATTATGTTGATTTGTCCATACATACCTATTTATACTTGTACTAATGTGTAGTTATATGCATATATTAATACAACACATCAAAACATTGTAGTAGGATAGTAAATTAATAGTAAACTTGATCCAATACATAAAATCTTGAACATTAAAGAATAATATAAATATATTAACAATTATACATGAAAAATTTACAACACTAACATTTTGAGACACAAGACATAATTCAAAAACTTAACTAATATATAAAAATTTATTCGAAATGTTTTAAAGATATAAGAATCAAACAGATCATCATCATATCTTCTATACCTTTTCATAGTCCATCATCTTTTCCAGTTTACTGAAATAAACTGACATCTAATCAGATAAATTAATGTTTAGCATTATTTTTTTGTCTATCTCTCTATAAAGAAAAAAATAAACCTTTTTTGAATACAATAACAGGAACTTGACAGAAACAAATTGTTCTGAAACTATATTAGAGAAGTTAAAATAGACACGAGTCATTCACCATGTAGAGTTAATGAGAATAGGCATTACAATTTTTATTATTTATTTATTTATTGTTAATATTAATAATGTGGATAATTTTATTTTTGTGAGAATTTTCTGTTTTTTTTCTACTTTTACGTTTGTTTATTGAGCGAATAAAATGAATTCTGACTATCGAAATGTAATAATAATAATAATAATAATAATAATAATATATACGAATATTCGTCAAGATTAGAACGAATAGTTTGACAGTAATTGAGCGCCGAGTATAGAGAAGTCATTATATGTGAAAATTATATTTGAAATATTCTCAGCGATTGAAATTTAACTAATTCCAACGTTTCGTCCAGCTAACTTGTCTGGACTTCTTCAGGGTAATAATCAAAATCAAAATTATCAAAGCTTTGATAATATAATATACTTTTCACATATAATAATAATAGTTATTAATGTCATCAATGGTAATTTTGATAAAACCATGTTGTTAAACTTATAGATACTTAAAAATCCCTTAACTTATATCTTAAGCGTTTTTATTTCAATAACAAGATAAAATTGATAAGTTCGAGAAAATATCAGTACCATCATGAACTGAGAGTGAAGAATAGGGAAAACGAAACATTGAATAACTGGGTTTTTTTCCACATTTTTGTGATACTTTAAAAATACAAAACTATAAGCTGATACACGATTAAATGTGGGATCCTTAAACCTCATAATCATTTCAGTACTACCTAAGTACTAAGCTAGAATTCAAATATTACTTATGAATTCCTAGTTCATTCTATGGCCGATGAATGTTACAGTTCATAGCTATCTGATGATCTCAGTTTTGAGGTTACCGAAGGTATCATATAGCTTAACGTCTGCTGAAAAAAATGATGAGAAACCCTGTTCAGTGTGAGAAAAAAAACATTCTACAGACAATCTAAGTTTGATTTTCTGTTTTTTTCTAATGGAAATAAAACGTGGTTTCAGTAGATTGAGTCTATACACTAGCCGACAGTGATTTATACCACAAAAATTTAAGATTTGATGCACTGATATAGCCGTTGATAGAGTATAATTATCCCTCGACAACTATGTCACTTTTGTCTCAGGTCATTAGGAGGAGTCATTAGCCATTTCTGAAAGAAACTCACTACTTCTTTAAAAGTATTTACTGATCATATTATCTAGAAAGACAATGAAAGCTCCATAACTCAATCATTCGTTACAGAGAATATAACGCCTACAAAATATACCAGTGATTACGGGTAAAAAATAGATGAGATAATAATAACACATAACACTAAGGCGGAGATAGTCTCCTACTTGGAGATGAAAGTTACCAGACCCAATCGCCCATAATGTCTAATTTATCAGTCAGTCAACTTTTAATATATTAAGACTAGTATAAGAAAACAAGCAACTAATAGAATTATATATATA